TCTATTGTTAAGCCAAACAGCAGGGTTAGAGTTAAACTACAGTTTCTACCTGATGGTTGCTACCATACTTCAAAAGGAGAATATTATATCCACAAATGCTTTTATTAATACTAAAAGCACAGATTAATTCTACAGTGTTTTGTTTTAAACTGATATGAAAATGAAGAGACTAAAGGAAGCACCAAAGCCAGACTGAAACTGTGCAATGAGACAGGAGCTGGAACATAGGGTATGAGAATCTTGCCATTCTTCCTCCCAAACATCTCTCCCCATTTCAACCCTCTCTCCTCATTCTCATAACTGCCATGCTGATCCAGCCCTCCAGGTAAATTCAGCAGGCTTACCAGAAATATCACTAAGGATTATTTCACTCGAGATATATGAGCAGTACCCTATTTTCAACCTGCCACTTAAGGCCCATAATCAATTAAAACAGGAATTTCTAGGGGTGAAAAAGACAGGCTTAGGAAATTTTAGAAATTGTAGAAACTAAGGGACCATGGAAGAAGCACAGGGCTGCAGAGGGGAACAGAATAGGGGAAGCGAATAGGGGCGCTGAAAAGCTACAACAGGTACATTTCCATAGAATGAGGGAGCTGGAAACAGCAAAAGGTCTATATTTACAAAATAAAGGGAAGGAAGCCCCTCATCCAGAAGGAGAAGAAGAAAGCCCAAAGGGAATAGGAAAACAATAAGGAAGGAGGGGAGGAAAACCCTCACATGTGAATATGAGGTTTGACCTTTGAGCTCAGAAGTTACTATAGTAACCTGTCCAAGGAAATAGTGACCAATCAGTGTGGATATCAAGGCAACAAGATCTGCAGCCTTTATAAGCCGTAGGGAAAAAACGAACTCAGTGGGACTCTTTCCCCCTCCCCACGTGGGGATCTGTGCTGTGAGATTCTTCCCCTTTCCCCACGTGGGAGTCTGTACTTGTTCTTCAATAAAATTTCCACGTTTGCTATACCACCTTCCATCCGTGGAGTCATTCTTCGATTCCATCGGACAAAGAATCCGGGGAACCATCCTGCCCAGGTGAACACTGTGTGTTCCAGTCCAAAAAATCCCGCTTCACGATCACTTTTCTCCAAAATGACCTCCTGGACTTACAGAACCACTGTGTCAATAGTCTGCCCAAACTGGGTTTAGGATCTCATTTTCAGTTTGATACATGCTGTTTTCCTAACAGTGTATTGGTATATATTTTGTCCAATGTTGTCACACCCATTTTGATAATGTTGCTTTATACTGCTTTCTAGATTTATACAGATGCCTTTATTGCAAACCAGAGAAGGTCATGACCTTTATTTCTTTTGAATTTCTCTCATTGTGGGTGTCATATGTCTGCAATAAATGCTTATTAAGACTATGAAACAATGGAATTTGGATGAATCTAGTAAAAATTAAAAACAAACTTTGGTATATGTAATAGTTACAGAAATTATATTGTTACAGAAAACCAGAGAAGAACCAAGCAACGCTTAGAGAGATGGAGTTACATTTATTATTATTATTATAATTATTACGTGCGGGCCCAGAGAAAAATGTCTCTAGAATTCTGGGCGAAGTCACCCAGGAAGTTTCCTGTATTTATACCTTTTTACCCTCTTTGTCTCCCAAATATGAGGTTCTGTTCCGATCCCCTTTGCAAGTTCTTAAAGAGCCCCTATGTGGTGGGGCTTTGAGATCTTGACCAAAGGCTTGGCCTGGTGCCAGCACTGATAACTTCGTCTGGGGAAGGTTTAATGGCCTCTCTGAAATGGGAGTAGTCTTATTTTCCTTATTATTTAAGCCAGCAAGCATTTACAGAAGCCAAAATGCAGGGTTAAAATTTCAAACAGCAGTTTTTATATAAGATGGATGCTTCAATATTAATGTAGTAATGGAATACTCTCTAAGAATTTGGAGAAAAGATAAAAAACAAAAGGCTAAATAAAGTCTTCACATTTAGCAATAAAATTTCCAGGAAACTTTCCTCAGCCAGGTAGAAAACTGAAGGGTTTTTTTTATCTGAACAAAATGAATATGCCCAGGGGGAGAAAATACCTTAAAAATGACATTTGGGGTTTCCCAATGAAATTGTCTGATTGACAGTCAATCACCCCATGATAAAATCTACTAGTTATGAACATCAGCCATGCACAGAGCTTATCATCCACTCTTTAGTATCTTATTCTTAAATTTAAATGCACACATAAGATCCACAGGAAGTGATGGAGCTGACTTTGAACCCAGATGAACTCCAGAGCCCATGTTCTTAATCCTTCAACCATATGGTCTTTCCTAGACATGACTTTAGCTGGAAAAATCTGTAATGTATTCCCCTTTGTATTCCTGTCATTTTGCAGCATGTGTAATACGTAAAGGGCACATACAGAATATTTGTGGAATGCATTCTGGGAATAGGAAAACCCAGTAAAAGAGGAAGTTCTTATGGAGATCATGCTGAAAACCTTTTCTCTTTCACTAAAAGATTTGCTAGGTGCAGTGATCTTTAAAAATATAATCCTGACCATAGCTATGTTCTGAGCTGAGAGAGTTAGAATTGTCCTGTGTTGGGAGATTCTAACCTATTCTGTTTTATCCTAAAATTGACAGATAGTTCATAATGTCAAACTTTTCTCCCACCCCTAACCAAAGTTGTTAAGCTTAAACAAACCTTGGACTGATATAACTTTAAAGAAATGTATTCAACTTGAAATGCCATTTATTGTTGTTACACTCATTTCTTAAAACAACAAAATAATAAAAAACTCATCACTTGACCCCAGTATCACCTCGCATAAACAACAACTTGCCAGCTATTTTTGTTGTTGAGGCTGAATAGAACAGGTGTAAAACAGTGTTACATTTCTCTGTAATATTAAATTGCACCACGTTATTTAAGGGGGCAATTTTATATAGATTCTATCTAAAATTTACACGGACTATTTTCAAAAATTTTAAAACCAATGTGTCTTTATACAAAAGCACTCTTTTATTTCTTAAGAAAGTTTGTATAGTAACCAATTCCTATCCCATCTTCTTAATTCTGGTTTCAAGTTTTAAAAAGTTATAAAATATACATAACAAAATTTCCATTTTAATAATTTTTAAAATTTAGTGGCATCACACACATTCACATTGTTGTGCAACCATTATAATTATTCATCTTTAGAACTTATTTTCATTTTTCCAAAGTGAAATTCTATACCCATTAAACAATAACTCCCGTTGTCCCTTCCCCCAGCCATAGAAAACACCATTTTACTTTCTGTCTCAATGATTTTGACTACTTTAGGTTCTTTTATAAGTGGAATCATAGAGTATTTGTCTTTTTGTGTCTGGCTTATTTTACTTAGCATAGTATCATCCATGTTGTAGCATGTTTCAGAATTTCCTTCCTTTGTAAAGCTGAATAATATTTCATTGTATGTATGTAACACATTTTGTTTTTCCATTTATGTCTTCCAATGGTCACTTGGGTTGTTTCTACCTTTGAGCTTCTGTGAATAATGCTGCTATGAACATGATTGTACAAATACATTTTTGAGTCCCTGTTTTCAATTCTATTGGCTATATGCCCAGGCAATGCTAGACTATATGGTAATTCTGTATTTAATTTTTTGAGGAACCACCATACTGTTTTATAGTGGTTGTAACATTTTACCAACAGTGCACAAGGTTTTAATTTCTATACATCCTACCAACAACTTGTTGTGTTTTTGTTTGTTTGTTGACAGTGGCCATCCTAATGGGTGTGAAGTGATATCTCATTGCAGTTTTGATTTGCATTTCCCTAATGATTAATGATGTTGAGCATCTTTTCGTGTGCTATTTGGCATTTGTATATCTTCATTGGATTTACAAATTCCTTTGCCAATTTCTCAATTGGATTATTTGTTTTTTGTTGTCCAATTATGAATTCTCCATATATTCTGAATATTAACCTCTTATCATATATATGATTTGTAAATATCGTTTACCAGAGTGTGAGTTGCCTTTACACTCTGTTGATGGTGTCCTTTGATACACACATTTTTCACTTTGAAGTAGTCCAACTTATTTATTTTTTGTTGCCTGCTTTTTTGGTGTCATATCCAAGAAATCATTGCCAAATCCACTGTCATGAAGCTTTCCCCCTATGTTTTCTTCTAAGAATGTTATAGTTTTAGCTCCTATATTTAGGTATTTGATTCATTTTGAGCTCATCTTTGTGTACGCTGAAGGGTAAGGGTCCTGCCTGTGGATAACGTGCAAACATTTTCCCAGCACCAGTCGTTAAAAGGCAGCTACTTTAATATAATATATGTTGATTTCAGAGAGGAAGGGAGAGGGAGAGCGCGAGAGAGAAATATCAATGATGAGAGAGAACCATTGATTGGCTGCCTCCTGCATGCCCCCCACCGGCGACGGACCCCACAACCTGGGCATGTGCCCTTGACTGGAATCAAACCCAGGACCCTTCAGTCCACAGGCTGACACTCTATCCACTGAACCAAACCGGCTGGGGCAAAAGGCAGCTACTTCTTAAGCAAGGATTGTTTCAGTGGGTGTTTCCAAAGCAGTGTGTTACCATTTCAAAGGTCAAATAGATAATGATTAAGTTGCACATCACTTAAAGGT